CCAGCTCTTGATTTTAAGGCATTATTTGTGCATTTTGGAAGGAAAGGAAGAAGAGGGATATGAGTGCAAAGCTCATACGTGTGCATTGAGTATTCTGGGATCTGTATAATGACCCCCTTCCTCTCTCATGGCAAGCATGTTTGTTATGCCAATATTATGGCCAGTATTTAAAATATGAAAGGAAGAGAGACCTCTCCCAACCTGTATCAGGCATGCAGACTGTGGTTTCCTAGCGCACTGCAATTTCAGGCATATATTTCCACCTGTTTAGATATGTGCAAGTCCATCTAACATTATTTGTTTTTCGTAACAAACATTACTGTAGACATGCTTGCGATGTAATCTGTGAAGGAGCTCTAATTCCCCAGAATGAACTGTTCTTAATTGTCTGTTAGAAAGGAGGCAACAGCAACAGCAGTTCTGCAGTGATTACAGAAGATTTAAGGATCAAACTACACATGACATAGGAATTCTGCAGTTGGAATGTCCAGCCTCTTTTTTTTTTTAATTGAAAAACAGCTGCAGAGGATTTCAGATTAGGATCCTCTTTGCTTCCATGCCACAAGCGGGATTCAAATTATACCCATCTCAGAGCTATCAAGCCAGAATGGGGGAAGCCTACCAGTCTTAACATATGGGTGCTTTGTGCAATACAAATTTAGTGGATCAGACTATGTCTCGTTTGACCATTAGTTGTTAATGTGTCTTTGAATCACTTCCATCTTATGGTGACCCTATCATAGGACTTTCTTGGCAAGTTTTATTCGGGGGAGGCTTGCCATTGCCTGCCTCTAAGAACAGAATCCACCAAGCACTACTAGCATGTATCCTCAATTCTTTTAAATTGGGGTGGGCAAATTTGGAGGGTCTTTAGGCTGCACAGACCAAGAATTTCAAACAACAACAACAAAATAAACAGGAAGTATGTATTGTTGAAGGCTTTCATGGCCGGAATCACTGGGTTGTTGTAGGTTTTTTTGGGATGTATGGCCATGTTCCAGAGGCATTCTCTCCTGATGTTTCACCTGCATCTATGGTAAGCATCCTCAGAGGTTGTGAGTTCTCTGAGGATGCTTGCCATAGATGTAGGCGAAACGTCAGGAGAGAATGCCTATAGAACATGGTCATACAGCCCAAAAAAACCTACAACAACCCAAACAGGAAGTAGCTGGGGGCCGCATTGACATAGTGGGTTACACTGTTGAGCTGCTGAACTTGCTGACCAGAAGGTCGGCAATTCAAATCTGCAGGACAGGGTGAGCTCCCATTGATAGCCTTAGCTTCTGCCAACCTAGCAGTTCAAAAACATGCAAATATGAGTAGAACAATAGGTACTGCTTCAGTGGGAAAGTAATAGAGCTCCATGCCATCATGTCAGCCACATGACCTAGGAGATGTCTACGGACAACACCGGCTCTTCGGCTTAGAATATAATATAATAATAATAATAACTTTATTTTGTATCCCGCCACCATCTCCCCAAAGTGACTCGGGGCGGCTTACATGGGGATAAACCTGGTCAAACAGAGATCAAATTATAAAACAGTATAAATTACAAATACAAAACATCATAAAACATAACCAACAACAACAACTAATAGCCAAACATAATGGCCATGTACTAAGCTCATGGGTGAGGCAGGACCTTTGCAATACAGTTGCAAGGACAGGGCTGAATGAAAAGTGCATAAGCCAGATGATAAGTTTGGGTTAGGAGAGCAATACAACTATACGGCAGGGACAATGGTAAAGTGCAAAAGCCAGAGTTAAGTTATGGCTAGAGGGGCCAAATTATCTAGTGAACTGATTAATCAAAAGCACATTGGAACATTCACATTTTGAGGTCTAGAAAGGGAGATGAGCACCATCACCCTAGAGTCGGAAACCTTTACTTTTACCATGTATGGTTTTGAAAAATGGACTTCTCTCATGTCAACTGGAACCTGTGTAAAAAGTGAAATCACAGCACCTGGGAGCATTCATGAGGCTGAGTGCAGGTATATCTGTAAAGACAGATTTGTTCTTTTTTATTGTATGCTCCCAAGCAGGGGGTTACAGAAATTATTTGATCAGGAGCACAACAAAATTAAATTCAGCTTCTATACTTAGCGTTTCATTGGGATGTATTGCTACAATTTTTAAAAAGCATGTGCAAAGGTGTCATGTCAGATTTCAGGGCAGGAAAAACGTTCTCAGCAAGATTCAAAGGCTCCGCTCTGGATCAAATTCAAGGTCAAATTCCAGAGAGGGTATTAAGAATATTTGTTGTGGTTACTTTATATACTTCATAATTAATTACTACTGACAAAGATGTTTTTCAGTAAGTATCGTATGTGGTCAGAAATATATTCTCCCTAAATGGCCCTCCTGGATGGTTTTCCAGCCCTATTCATGCAGCAAAAGAGGATGTTCTTAAAAGCAGTTGAGGCAGTAAGAACAAATTTTAGAAGTGTTGTTGAAAGTGGATTGTATAAGCAAATTACATGAATGTATAAACTGCATCAACATTGTATACCAGGCATGGGCAAACTTTGGCCTTCCAGGTGTTTTGGACTTCAACTCCCACAATTCCTAACAGCCTACCGGCTGTTAGGAATTGTAGGAGTTGAAGTCCAAAACACCTGGAGGGCCGAAATTTGCCCATGCCTGTTGCATGCAGAATGACCCCTGAAAGACCATTGTTCACACCTAAAATAGCGTCCCATTTTGAATGTAAAAGTCGTTTTTGAGAGCTGATTATCTTGTCATGTTGACATATTATCATTTTGTGCTTTTTTGCTGAATGTTAGTAACTGTGCTGTTGAGCTGTTTCCCAATTTTGTTTGCAACTGATCTAGTTAATCTATGCCATTATTCTAGGACGAGTCTATTAAGTAGGCATTTTTCAAGGATTTCCCCACTCTATCAATATTCCCTTCAATGGTTCCTTCTTCTCCTCCTCTGGCTTTTGACACTCCATACTTTCACCATCACGTTCTCTTCCCATAATGTTCTGACAGGCTCTCCTACACTCTCCCTTCTGCACTGCCTCTGTTATGTATTTTTAGTTTTGTGGTTTTAGCAAACATGATCGTCTACTTCAAAATCAATCTGCAGTTCTCCTTTTTTGCATACCACTTCTAGACCACTTTTTATGCAAGGCAATAAAAACAGAGTTCCTCGTCTCTCTAGTGAAATCCTCTGTACTTCAACAAGACTGTTGCTAATACATGAAAAACTTATTTTTCCTCAAAATTTTATCTTAAAGTTCACCCTTTTCTTTTCCTACATACAAACTGTGTTTTGCCACTTCTTTGTTTTAACGTACTTAAAATTGTATATTATTATTATTATTACTATTATTATTTTAAAATTATCCTATCTATCTTTCTATATTAAATGTAAAAGGTAAAAGTTTCTCCTGACATTAAGTCCAGTTGTGTCCGACTCTAGGGGGTGGTGCTCATCTCTATTTCTAAGTTGAAGAGCTGGCATTGTCCATAGACACCTCCAAGGTCATATGACCAGCATGACTGCAGGGAGCACCGTTACCTTCCTGTAGAAGTGGTACCTATTGATCTACTCACATTTGCATGTTTTCAAATTGCTAGGTTGGCAGAAGCTGGGCCTAACAGCTGGAGCTCACCCTGCTCTCCAGATTGGAACTACCAACCTTTTGGTCAGCAAGTTCAGCAGCTCAGTGGTTTAACCCACAGTGCCACCAGGGGCCCCTTATATTCAATGTACAAATTCATTAAAAATGAAACATGTATATATATACATGGACCAGTGCAATACTACCTAACGTCTATACAATAGTTGTATTTGACTATGCCCTTCCCTCGTCCCACCCCTTCCATTATGGTAATTTCTGTTCTTCTCTCCAGTAACATTGTTTTTCTATTCTTCCTTCTGGCCTAATAGTTAGTATTTATAAATTCCCTACAAAGATTCTAACAGATTCAATTATGAATCTTCCTATACAGTCTTCTCTCTCTCTCTTTCTCTCTCTCTCTCTCTTGCTTTTTTTTTTTTACAAAGTTTAGAAATAGCTCCAAGCCTTTGGTAAAGTTTTTTTGTGTGTTTTTTCTTTGTTCATCATTGCTAATTTATCAATTTCTGCTATTTTAAAAATTTTAACGATCTATTATTCTTTTGTCACAATCTGTATTTTTAATCTTCACATATGCCGTTGAAACCTTGATTGATGGTCAGATTGTTTCTCACCTAGATTAACATTGCACTGCTCTTAAGTCAATGTTTATTATTCAAATCTGTTTTAATCGTGTACGTCTTCCCTTTCCCTGGTGCCAGCATTGACAGACTAAATGTAGACTGGGTTGCTGTGAGTTTTCCGGGCTGTATGGCCATGTTCCAGAAGCATTATCTCCTGATGTTTCACACACATCTGTGGCAGACATCCTCAGGGGTTGTGAGGAAAACTCACAGCAATCCAGTGATTCCAGCCATGAAAGGCTTCGACAACGCATTAAATTTAGATTGCTCAAGAAAAGGGTATGAAATGCTTTGGGTAGAACCACTCTACAACAGAATCCTGGCCATGTCTTAGTTGTACTTTTCATGGATGTCTATGTGCTGAGTGCTGATAGTGGATCAATTTTTAGGAACAGCATGATAAAACTGGGAACAACTATTTTAAGTCAGTTGATGGCCACTTTTGAAAATTGAGATTGGAAGGCCAAAAGATACCAGATACATTGCCTCTGCTTCGTAATTCCCCACTGTTTGTGTCAAAGCACTGTAGTAAAAATGAAATTAATCGCAGCCTTCCTACCCCAAAAGTCCACCAAACAGGTATTTTTCCCTGACTGGGGTTAATAATATGGACCCATTCCTGATACGTTCTGACAAATCGCTGGAGGTAACCCTTGTACACATAGATGTGAGGTTTGACTGCTACTTGCTTTTACAGCATTGTGTTTTTTTATTTCTGTGCAAGTCTCTTAGGAAACATTGACCTTTTCAAGAATCTTAGTTCACTTTTTAATTTTATCTTGTAGGAATTGTACGTGCCCAGACATGCCTGTGAATGTGGAAGAATCTAGGCAGGTGAGCCATGAAATGCAGATGAAAACAGATGTTTTTGTGGAACAACTTCTCGAGTGTAAAATGTCCCTGTGCCAAAGCTGTGAACTACACTATATGACTTGTTTGTGTACTTTGTTTTTTTCACATCACTCTGTTCTCCCAAGGGTGAAACACCTTGTTTTGCTTAGATTCAGACACAGTTCCACTACTTTGAGAACACAGAAATGCTGGACCACTCTAACAACTACCATGTCAGACTACACAGAGAAGCCCTTGAAATCCACAAGCATGAGGACAATTTAAACAGAAAGGAATAAACCATGAAAATGAACAAAATCTGGATACCACTATTTAAAAAACTCTAAAATCATAACAATAAATAAAGAACAACATTCAAAAACAGGGGAACTCCAGACAAGAAACAATCAGGGACAGCCAATCACTTCTCAACAAAGGATTCCAACAGGCAGTAAGAAGCCAGACCATGAAAACTGCTAGGCCATTAAATGCTAATCAAGGTGGCCCATTGAGACATTCACACCTACTTCCAACAGACAAAAGTTATTTCTCCCACTCTGGACATTCCACAGATATATAAACCCCATTTTCTTAATTTCCAACAGACCTCACAACCTCTGAGGATGCCTGCCATAGATGCAAGCAAAATGTCAGGAGAGAATGCTTCTGAAACATGGCCATACAGCCCGAAAAACTTACAGCAACCCAGTTCCACTACTTTCAGTGGCATACATCTGAGAGAATTGGCTGTCTGAAAAGACATTACCCAGGGGACACCCGGATGTTTTACCATCCTATGGGATGCTTCTCTCATGTCCCTGCATGAGAAGCTTCCTGCATGAGAAGCTGGAGCTGAGAGACAGGAGCTCACCCCACTCCCCAGATTCGAACCGCAGACCTTTCAGTCAGCAGTCCTGCTGGCACAAGGATTTAACCCATTGTGCCACTGGGGGCTCCAAGTAAGAATCCCTGACCAACACACATTTTGGTACCTCAAATGTTTGCCCTGTTTCTGGGTATATTTGACCTGCTGATTCCAAAAAATGAAACCGGTTTTCCCTGATCAGCTCTAGTTTTTGAGATACTTGACATATGCCATCTCTAAATCGCCATCTGCTCACCCACAGAAAATCATGATTACCATATCTAAGAAATTAGAGCTGATGCCATCTGTCCATAGCAATTTTCTGAATCAGCACCCCAAATAACCTCAGAAAGAGGCCTATCTTTGTAGATCACTTTTAATAATCAATTATTCTAAAATAATTGGTCATGCCTTAGCTATTTATGTCTTGGTCATAACGTAAGGAATTAGTTGTGTTTTGCTAGTCTTGATCAGCAAGAGAATTCTTAGACCCTGTTTCAGCTGTCTAAAGGTTTAGATACTGCCTTACTGCTTGCCTTCCTTTCTCTAGCAACTGTAGACCATTTATTCTTCAGTAATTGCTTTGTTGGAATGATGTCTTCCTGATACTTCTCAGTGCCCTTCTTATCACCTACTTTTTCACAGATTTTTCAAATAAAAGAGGCCCGAGATTCACTGAATGGGATTTGACTATACAGTGGGTCCTCAGTATCCATTGGAGTTTGAGTCTAGGACCCCCACCCACTGTGGATACCAAAATCTATGGATGCCCAGGTCCCATTATATACAATGTACAATGTAGTAAAATGCTATCTTTTGTATAAAATGGTGAGGAACAAATTATTTATTTTATTAATTTATTTACGACATTTATATCCCACCTTTCTCATGCCGAAGGGGACTCAGAGCAGCTTACAAGTGTGTGTGTGTGTGTGTGTGTGTGTGTGTGTGTGTGTGTATATCTTGTAAGCTGCTCTGAGTCCCCTTCGGGGTGAGAAGGGCGGCATATAAATGTCGCAAATAAATAAAATAAATAAATTGTATTATTATTATATTGTATTACAATATTGTGATCAAAATTATATACGCATACAATATATTATATTATTAGCATAGAACAATATTAGTATTGCGTATTAGTATTGTGTAGTACTATATTGTACTATACCACTATACTGCAATATTATTAGTAATATTACATGTAATATATAATATGTAATTATTATATTATTATATTGTATTATTATTATATTACATTACAATATTATGATCAAAACTATATGTAGATACAATATTATATTATTAGCATAGCACAATATTGGTATTGTATATTACTATATTGTACTATACCACCATACTGCAATATTATTGTAGTATTGCATGTGATAATTATTATATTATTATTATATTGTATTATTAGTAGTATTATATTGTATTACAATATTATGATCAATATTAGATCCAGTGAGAGCCAGAAGACCTTAGAAATATTAGGAATTACAGCAAGATATGCCTACTCATAATCATAATCATCATACATAATACATTAGGCTTGGTTGATCAAGAAAAAAAATGGTTCTAAACTCGTTTCATATGTAGGGGGCGCTGGAGGTTCGATTTTTAAATTATTTACGAAATTTTCTTTAAAAAAAGATCGAAATTACCAGGAAATACGAATCGTTTCCTCTGTTTCGTTAATGGAAGGTGCCCTTCCCTCCCTCCAGAACCATTAAAATCTCGCAGTTTCCCTTCCTTCCCTTGCGGCAGAAGGGAGAGGTGGGCGTGGCCAAGCACAGCCCTCCTCGGAGGCCTCGCCCCCAGTGACCTCCAAGGAGCGCTGTGCTTGCCCACTCCCACCTCTCCCTTGGACAGCTTGCCAGGGAAGAGAAAGAAAGGTGAGAGATTTTAAAAGTGTTGGTTTTTAAATCTCTCACCTTTCTTTCTCTTCCCTAGCAAGCTGTCCAAGGGAGAGGTGAGCGTGGCCAAGCACAGCGCTCCTCGGAGGCCTCGCCCCCAGCGACCTCCGAGCGGGGAGCACTGTGCCTGGCCACGCCCACCTTTTTCCTCTTTGCATCGGCGGCTTTGCGAGGTGGGCGTGGCTACGCCCAGCTCTTCCACATTGCCTCCTGTCGCCAGGGAGGTAGTCACACCCACCTCGCAAAGCCACCGATGTAAAGAGGAAGGAGGTGGGCGTGGGTAAGAACAGCTGTTCCTAAAGGCCACACCCCCAGCATTTACGATTCACTGGTGGAAGTCGTAAGGAAGATGGGGGTGCGGCTTCCGGGTTGCCAAAACGCGTCGATATCACTTCTAAAGGTATTAAAATAACGAATTAATAACGAATTAAGAAATTAATGAACTGGATCAACCAAGCCTATAATACATTTGAATATATTATTAATTTTATATTTCATTACATGTATTAATTAAAATATTTTTATCCCACAGTATCATGGGATCTCAGGGCAGCATACAGTAAATTCTTAAGCTAGCAAAACTAATTTAAACAGAGTAAAAACACATTTTAAAATTTGACAAGTTAAAACAGACCAGTTTAAAACCCGATAATCAGAAGGGATGTGTTAGGTCATGCCCAAAGCAGTTTGGAAAGAAACAATGTGTGCACGGCTGTGTCTTGTGATGTTTATGATGCCTCTATCCCTATCGGTGACCCCCAGAAAGGGAGGGACGGGACTTATCCATACCATCTGCTCTTAGGCAGTCAGATTATGATTGCTGTGTAATTCCACAGACCAAGCAAAAGGCAAAGCAAAATATACCCAGCTATATTTTCCCTTTAGTCTTTCACAGGAAAGTATTGTAATGAAGAATATTTCTGAAGACAGATTTAATACTCTAAGTGAGTGAGGACAGCTATTATTCATAGAGCACTGCTAATGTTGTCTCCAGGATATGAGATATACTCCACAGAGATTTCTGTGTTTATTCTTGTCTTTAATTTTGAAAATGAGCTGGTACCTGGTAGTAATATGGGCAGGACTGGGACACCCATCTGATTTTCCCCAGGAGATGGAAGTATGAAATGCTTTTCATCCTTGTCTCCTGCCATCACATTTCCCGAGGTCCCGTCCACTCTGGCTCCTTCCCATCCATTAGAGTGTATTTAATGTGCCTCGTCTATGGCATCTGTGCCACATACACTTAGGAACTGGCACAGCCAATATTCTAAAAGCTTCTTGTGATTATATTTTCGTGCTGTGCCTTAGATTTAAAACATGTGCACGGGCAGGAATCTAGGAGGGGTTTGTCATTGTAGATTCAGATGACACTGGACTAGAGTCACCTAGAGTGGCTTCTGTTTTGTTTTCAAACCCAGTTGAAGCCATTTGTTTGAACTACAAAACCTTAAATTGCTATGGTTCGGGATATCAAAATGAAGACCTCTTTCCACATGAGTCTGCCCACAATTCACAATGTTAATCAGAGGTCCCATTGTAAACCCCTAGACAGGCAGGTTGGTATCCAAGGTGGAGCCTCTTCTATAAGGTACTCTATCCATGGAAAGGTCATGTTGGCTACATCTGTACAGAATACTAGACAAGTAGTTATTTTATTTTGTGGCAAAAATATTGATTAAATAAATAAGTTTAAAACTGATAAAGGTATCACAAGCAGCTAAATAGTTGGTACTCATGGCAGACAAACAATTTATAAACACTTTCAGTAATAATCATTAATACAAATGGCTATAGAGTAGGAAAACATGCATCTAGATTAGCTTTTTTTTCATACAGTGGCCAATCGAGTGCCACCAGAAGCCAACAATCAGAAAATAACTCTCTACAAATTGGGTCCTGCTGCTTCTGAACAAGAGAACCTCACCTAACTATTGAGACTAATAGCTTTTGATAGCGCTGTCTTCTATGGAATTATCTGCCCCTTCTTACAAGCCATCTAGGCTAATGGCTGTCATACACCTTTTGGTGTGTTCCATAAGATAATTATGTATTATTTGAAGAAATACTTTTCTTCATGGTATGAGAAATGGAAGACATTTAGGCTTCAATCCATTGCAGACCCGTTTAGGAAAAAAGTCCCATTAACCTTTGAGTGTGCATGTATAGGATAGGATTTCTTGAAAAATTCAAGATTTATTCATCTAGGTATTTCACAGGAA